AACAATGCTGGCAGCTACGTCACCAGTATTTCAAACAGCAGCAGGGTCAAGCTGATGGACAGGTTTCAGTGGAGCCTCCAGACTGAGACAGACTAGTTAGAATGAATAGATAGTATACGTTTGTTTGTTTGTTTTTATCTGACATGTGTATTAGACTAGGTAATATTGCTCTCTATGCCTGAGTCTCTAAAAGACATACTTTTTTTCTTTGGTAGTACACTTTTGAGAAACTGTTATTGATATGTGTCGTCAAGTCAGTTCCGACTCATTGCGACCCTGTGTAGGGTTTCCAAGGAGTGGCTGGTGAGTTTGAACTGCCAATACTGTGGTTAAAACCAAGCTTGCAGTCAAGTGCTTATCCCATAGTGTCACACCAGTACTCTTCTGTGAGATTAGCCAATGAGAAACTCAGGAGCAGCAGCAGAACAATGTCTGATGTAGTGCCAAAGATAAGCTCCGTAGGTTGGAAGACACTGAAGACATGACTGGGGAAGGACTGACTCCTTAAAGTAGAGTTGATCTTACCGACATGGATGGAGCAAAGCTTATGGGACTTCATGTGACAGAGGGGCATTACTCAGATTAAGAAGAAACAGTTGCTTTGCTGTTGTGGTTATGTGTTGTGTGATTCATGACAACCCTATGCACAGCAGACTAAAACTGCCCAGTACTACGCCATGCTCATTACTGTGGTTAAGCTTGAGCCCAATGCTTCTGCCATTGTGTCAGTCCAGCTTGCTGGGGGGTCTTCCTCTTTTTTTTTTGGTGACCCTCTATTTTATGTAGCATGAAGTTCTTCTCCAGGGACTGGTCCCTCCTAATAATATGTTCAAAGTATGAAAGATGAAGTCTCACTCTTCTGGCTTCTAAGGATTCTGGCTATACTTCTAACAAAGATTTGTTTGTTCCTCTGGAAGTCCATGGTACTTTTAATATTCTTCTCCAACATCACAACTCAAATGCATTAATTCTTCTATCATCGTCCTTATTCACTGTCCAATTCATGAAGCTATTGAAAATACCATGACTTTGGTCATGTGCATCTTAGTCATCAAGATGACATCTTTGCTCCTGAACACTGTAACGAGGTCTTGTGCAGCAGATTTGCCAAATGCAATATGTTGTTTGATTTCTTGACTACTGCTTCCATGAATGTAGACAGTGGAGCCAAGCAAAATGAAGTCTTTCGCAACTTCAATCATTTCTCCATTTATCATAATGTTATTTATTGGTCCAGTGATGTGGATTTTTGTTTTCTTTATACTAAGGTGCAATCCATACTGAAGGCTGTGGTCTTTGATATTTATTAGTAGATATTTTAAGTCCTCTTCATTTTTGGCATGCAAGGTATCATCTATATATTGCAGGTTGTTAAATGAGTCTTCCTCCAATCCTGATGCCATGTTCTTCTTCATATAATCTAGAGTTTCCAATTATTTGCTCAGACTGAATAAATAAAGAAAAGAATACAACGCTGGTGCACACCTTTCCTAATTTTAAACCATTCAATGTCTCCTTGTTTTGTCTGAATGACTGCCTCTGGTATAATGTATAGTTTCCTCATTAATACAATTAAGTGTTCTGGTATACTCATTTTCCACAATGTTGTCCATAGCTTGTTGTGATCCACATAGTAGAAAGTCTTTGAGTAGTCAATAAAGCACAGGTAGAAATATTTCTTGTATTCTCTGCTTTTAGCCAAGATCCAGCTGATGGCAGCAATGATGTCCCTTATTCCTCATCTGATGGTCAGATTCAAAATTGCAAATGCCAGTCCATTTCAGCTGCAAACAGGTGCAAACACCCAGCTGTTTCAAACATCCTGAAACAGCTGCAAGCATCCATTAATAATTGGAACACAGAATGTACGAAGTATGAATCTAGGAAAATAGAAAGTCATCCAAAATAAAATAGAACACATCGATATTATATTAGGCATTGGAGAGGTGAGATGGAATGGCATTGGCCATTTTCAATCAGATAATCATATAGTTTACTATGCTGGGAAAGAAATTAAAAAAGAATGGGGCCACATTCACTGTCTTTTCGCTTTTCTATCAAAGACACATTATTGAGGACACATGCCAACACAGAGAGTAACAGTTGCTAATTTTGAACCAGATTATTAAAGTGAAAAAAGTTAAATTAAATTAAAAAGAGAAAGACTAGCCTGTCTTTTGCTCTATGGCTTCAATATATTTACAAGGCCACAAGACGCCATGACATGAAAGCAAAATACCTCTGAGACACATGAAGAAGGAGGCACTAGTGTTTCCAAGTAACTACTAAGAAACAGCTTAGTGTCCTTAAGAAGAAAGAAGCTTTGAGTGTTCCATCATCAGAACCTTCCCTTTCCTCCCTAAAATTATGACATTAAGTCAGGTGTCATTGTAGAAACAAGGCCTACTAAATGGTGTGGCATATGACAAGAGAAGTTTGAAAACAACTCTAGATGACTGAGAAGAAAAATGGACTTGACCAAGAGCTAAATATGCAAACAAATCTGAGGAAAAGGCTCAGCAGCTCTGTGAGGCACTGAAAAAGGGCTAGTAGGACTAAGTTGAACTTTTCCTACCAGGAATTGGACAATGTGGTCAAATAATCTCCGAAAACTAGAACAAATGTTAAAATGTGTAGGAAGTCTTAGATTTTTGTTTATCTGAGAAAAATGAAAATCAGGGAAGAAAGGAAGTGTGTGGAACACCCATCCTTACTCGACAGCGGCAGGACAACCTTGCCAGCAAACTGACATATTTAATAACACAAATCTCTGCTGACCTGTGCTAATAAGAACATCCGGTCCAACCCTTCCCTCAGCCACAGAGGAGCACTGGGAGGAAATCAAGCACTGAACTTTCCTCATCTGTAAAGCTGCCAAAAGTCCCTTCTTCCTGGAAACTGGGAGTTAATGATTAAACCAAGTAAAACCTGCGAGAGTCCTGTGAAAGTGTCTGCTGTGGAACATAGGTAAGGGGAAGTAGAGTTACACCACCCAGCACCTGCTCAGAATCTCCGCAGCAAACAACCCTTGAAACCACGAGGTGGATCCTCACCTGCCTTCTCACACCCCAGGCATCAAAGCCAAACTCCCAAGAAAAGTCAACTTTGCAGGAGGTTGGAGCAAAAGGCTCAAACTTATTAAATTTCTTTGGTCTCCTTTCCCCACCACTTCCTTTAGGTCTCAGGCACAAAAGCAGGTGCCAATTTGTTAGGCTGCCTTAGGCAATACCTGACCTGTTGCTCCCACACAATGAAAAGGGAAGCAGGATGTTAAAGGCTTTTAAAGTTCCAACTGTGAAAATGTTTCTCTCCCAGATTCCTGGATAAATTCTTCCCTAGGTGGCGAACACCCATTCTCCAGTCCTACAGCAAAACACAAACCTGTTTGACTCGAATTCTCACCCCATGTCTAGTTTTCACTAAGAAGTTAGCTATTTTGAATAGGCAACTAACTCTATGATAAAGGGAAACATTCTGTACTGACCAAGAGTCTGTGTCAGCAATGCAAAAATAGTGGCTTTGGCAATTAAAAAAAATAAATTACAAAGTGTATGCCATTTGAAATAAATCTTTAAATACTCCTAGGAAAATTCCCATGCTTACCTGTCTCAAATCTTCTTCACAGGGTCTCCAGGTAGGCCTAAACATCACTGGCTGCCCTGAAATTTCCTTTGTACACATAGTAACATCACTTGGGAGAAACTGGTTGTTAAGTGCCCTC